TTCAAGCTCCAGATTTTGGCCAAGTCATACCAGAACTTTGTCCAGCTTTCATCGGATCCTAATGGGGGAGGAGCTATCTCCAGTTCCACATTTGACGCAGACCAAGCCACATGAGAAGCAAGTGCATGGCATCATAGCGTGGATTAATTTTTCACCCAAGTCAATAAAACTTAGTTTTATATTAAGAAACCATGTGTCATTCCCTTTTTTGTTTTTTCTCTGTGTAGCCTTGGCTGTCCTTGATCTCACTTTGTAGACCAGGCTGGCCTCAAACTCAGAGATCTACCTGCCTTTGCCTCCTGAGTGCTGGGATCAAAGGCCATGCGCCGCCACCACCGCCCAGCTCTAGAAATCCTGTATCATTCCTAATGTTAAGACTTGTACTCTATTCCTTTCAGGATACTAACTGTAATGTCATTGCACTGAGGAATCTTTGAGCTGGTTAGGGATTGTAGGTCTCTCGGGGCTTCCAAGCCACAGGTGCAAACTCCAATACTCTATCTCTCTATCTCTCTCTCTGACAAAAGAGAAAATAGGGTTAGAGCGTGTTCTAACACATCGTGCCGTAACTCATTTTTGCTTCGAATAATAAAACATCATCTTAGAACACAAAAGATCAGCAGGCAGGAGTCACACACTGCACACAAATGTACTTAACACAAGAAACACACAGGGTCCTGGGAGCCATAGGCTCTTCAGTCACTCTTCCTCATGCTCCCTGCGAGTGTCCTTATGACTGGAGGAAACTTAAAATCTAATGCAGGGCAGTTTAACATCCACCCTTTTGAAATGTGCAAGTATTGCCTTGAATTGCAAGAATGATATTTGCCCTAGCTGTTTACAGACCCTGACCTTTACCCTGGTCCTAAACCTTGCCCCATTCCTGATACTCTGACCCTCCAAGTGGAGAGCCCAGCCCCAGTCCCCGCCCCAAGTCCACACCTGCCTTATGAGATTTCTGGCCTGACCTGTGCTCACGGACCTCTCCCACCATTCCATCTAGGAGGTCCAGCTCCTTCAGATCCTAGCCTGCCTAATCTTGGCTGGATTTTACTTGAACCCCAAAGCTAAAAGGAGGGAGAGTATGAGGAACTGAGGGATGTTTCCACCTGAACAGCAAGAGGCAGTAGCAGAAGGCGTGAGCAGAGGCCATCACATGCATGGCTTAATGAGCAGCATCAAGGAGCTCAGGTCTTGTGTTAAAGACCGTGGGAATTCGGTAGAGAGTGGATAGAAGAGAGGGTGGTAGTGAAGAATTCGGTCACGAGACAAGAGACACAGCGTGCCAGCCAGGGGAGGGTCATGGTCTGGCAAGGTCACGCCAGGTCAATAGAGATGAAAGAAGTGTGTGATATTACCAAATCAGGAAACAGAGCTGACAGGGCTTAGGGACAGCTCACACATGCGGAACTGTGGGGGGGTGGGGGTAGAGAAAATATGAGTCCTGTCACCATTCCAAGGGTCAGGCTATAAGCGTGTGCTGTACTATACACAGTTTAAGCAGGACTGGGGTTAGAGCACAGGGTGTTGTGCATTCTAACTAAGCAAACAGTCTACAACTGAGCTACAGCCTCAGACCAGTACCGCGTATGAGCTTTATTTAATTTATTTTATTTAATTACGCCTCCGTTAAAAAGACAAAGCGGGCTGGCGAGATGACTCAGCCAGGAGAGGTTCCTGCCACCAAAACTGACAACCTGTGTTCGACACCCAGAACCACACCGTAGAAGAAAAGAGCTGACCCCCAACGAGCCGTCCTCTGACCGCCACCCGTGAACCTTGGCGTGTGCACGTGCGTGCGCGTGCGCACAAGCACACAAGATGTGGTGTTAAATTTTTTATTTTAAAAATGTAATAAAAAGTAAAGTTTGAGAAGGAGAAAGAGAAGATGTACAGGTGAAATGGCGCGATGTTCGGGGTGTGGCTGTGAAGTGCTGTCCTCCAGGTGAAATCACGCGATGTTCAGGGTGTGAAGTGCTGTCCTCCAGGCACGATGTAGCCATTGAGCTCCTGGTAGAGGCTGTGCATCTGTGGGGCAGATCTAAACAGGAAAGTTCTCTCTCTCGATTTTGCTGTTATTGTAAGACTATCTTTAAAAATAGTCTTTGTAGCCCAGCGTAGTGGTGCAGACTTTTAACCCCAGCACTCGGGAAGCAGAGGCAGGTGAAACTCTGAGTTCAAGGCCAGCCTGGTCTACAGAAAGAATTCCAGCACAGCCAGGACTACACAGAGAAACTCTATTTTTTCGTTTTTTGCTTTTTGTTTTTCGAGACAGGGTTTCTCTGTGTAGCTTTGCGCCTTTCCTGGGACTCACTTGGTAGCCCAGACTGGCCGCGAACTCACAGAGATCCGCCTGCCTCTGCCTCCCGAGTGCTGGGATTAAAGGCGTGCGCCACCACCACCCGGCTGCCAGAGAAACTCTAAATCAGAGAGAAAGAATTTAGTAAGGTGACCTCATAAAAATAGGTATACAGAAATCAATAGTGATAATAAAGGAAGCAACAATCAATTATACGAAACAAATAACAGAGATTTCTAATAAACAACAAAAAGATGACAAAGCCGGACATGGTGGCACATCCCCTTAATCCCAGCACTCAGGAGGCAGAGGTAGGCAGATCTCTAAGTTCAAGGCCAGCCTGGTCTACAGAGTGAGATCCAGGACAGCCAGGGCTACACAGAGAAACAAGGTCTGCATAGGTGCTCTGCATAAATGTGGCTGTTAGCTTGGTGTTCTTGTGGGTCTCCTAACTTTGGGAGTCGATGTGTCTCTGACTCTTTGTGCCGCTCTTGGGACTCTTTTCCTCCTGCTGGGTTGCCTTGTCTAGCCTTGCTCAGAGGGCTCTTGCCTTGCCTTATTGTATTTTGTTTTGTCATTTTTGGTTGCTGTCTCTTGGAGGTCTGCTCTTTTCTGATGGGAGATAGAAAGGGAGTGGATCCAGGGAAGAGGGGAGATGATAGGGGGAGCTGGGAGGGGCGGATGGAGGGGAAACTGTGGTTAGGATGCATTGTATGAAAGAAGAATCTATTTTCGATAATATATATACACATACATATATAAATTAAAAGACAGTGAAATAAGAGTAAACTTGCAAGATGTGGTGGTTTAAATGTAACTGACCCCCATAAGCTCATAGGGAGTGCCACCATTAGGAGGTGTGGCTTTGTTGGAGTAGGTGTGGCCTTATTGGAGGAAGTGTGTCACCGTGGGGGTGGGTTTTGAGGTCTCATATATGCTCAAGCCATGCCCAGTATCAGACCACTTCCTGTTGCCTGTGAGTCAAGATGAAAGGACTCTCAGCTCCAGCTCCAGCACCATGTCTCCCTGCACACCTCCATGTCGCACAATGATAATAACGGACTAAATCTCTGAAAATATAAGCATCCCAATTAAATGATTCTCCTTCATGAGAATGGTGTCTCTTCACAGCAATAGAAACCCTAACTAAGACCCAAGACATCCGATACTTATTGAGCATGTGTGTGTGAGAGAGAGATGGGGGGGGGGGCTCATGTAACCTAGACTGGACTGGAACTCACCACCTGGACAAGGCTGACTTTGAACTCCTGATCCTCCTGCCTCCTTCCCAAGCTCTAGGAGGAGAGGCGTGTATCACCTGGTTTCTTCAGTTCAAGGAACGGAGCCTCCCGCATGCCAAGAGAGCCCTCTACCCACTGAGCCCCGCCCACCTCCAATATGTATATCAACAGATTTTAAACCACTTGGTTTGGGACTGAGTTTATAACTCAGTGGTGGAGCCCTTGCCTAGCAACCCCCAGCCCAGCCCAGCCCAACAACAAAAAAGATAAAGAGAGAAAGAACCTGGTCACGGTGACATTGCTGTGCAGCCCGTGAGACTGTCCACAAGGAGTTACCAACTGACCCCCAGCACTGCACCATAGTGCGTACACACACTCAAGAGCATACATACAAACACATCATACATACATACCTATGTACATACATACATGAATACAATACATATGCATGTATATATACATACATAAATATAGTAAAGGAGTTTTTTTTTTATTCTAAGTGCCCCCTTTCAGTGCAGAGCCTCAAGCACAGCAGGCCAGCGCTCTCCTGCTGAGGCCTGTTTCCAACCCCAGAGCCTTTCTTCTGACCCCTAACCTCCCTCCTCCTCATGATCAATCAGGCCTAACCGTGTACATTGTGTGAGAGCTCTGAGGGAAAAGACTTCCCCAGTGGAAGAGTTACAGCTCTGAAGGGAAAGGAAGCCTGGCAGGCAGGCAGGAGCCAAGGAATACCGCAGGGTCACACAAGAAAAACCCAGGAGGGAAGAACCAGGGAGGGCGGCGGCCTCTGCTCAGGCAAGAAGCAGCGGAGAACCGGGCAGGAGATGGGGGTTATAAAGTTTCTTGGGGACTGAGCTTTCCAGGTTGGGGACTGGTGGGATTTCAGGTCTTGAGCTTGGGGTGAACCCAGGGATTGGTGGGTTTTCAAATCCAGAGCTTGGCCTCCCTGTCTAGAGGGGCCGGGACGGCCTTTGTGGCCGTTGGGGTCCTCAGGGGAGGGCCCGGGGCACCCAAGTGTCTCGAGGGCCTTACAGGCATGCCTGCTTGGCCACCATTTAGGGCAAAGGCATGCTGCTGATTGTAAAATCCGAGGGGGTGTGGTAGGGAATCCAAACGGAATTTCTGGGTTGCACAACCTGGACAGACCCGAAGACAATGAGTCAGCTTTGCCTCCAGCCTTCGATCTTTGTGAGGCCATTATCTGAAACACGTCCCCAGGCCCCCTTCCTCCCCTCCTCTGAGGCAAGTCAGCATGCTCCGCGCTATTCATCTGCCCATCACACGGTGACATAGGCACTGCCATGGTCCTTCACCCACACAAAACTTCTGAAGAGCCTGTGGGGCTCGTGTGATCCATGCTACTGGAAGAATTTCATACACACGCTCCACCCAGGAACGAGAATGACCGGGCAGGAGTCAGAGAGCAAAGTCCTGCCATGGGAGGACGGGAGACTTATATCTGCCAGACCAGGCAGAGGCAAAAAGCCAGTGTCCCGGGACGCACCAGCTAGAGCGGGCATCATGGATGTGCTGGTCCCGTTCCTGCAGCTGCTGGTGCTGCTCCTCACACTTCCGCTGCACCTGCTGGCTCTGCTGGGCTACTGGGAGCCCATGTGCAAAACCTACTTCCCCTACTTGATGGCCAAGTTAACAAAAAGCTCCAACAAAAAGATGGAAGGCAAGAAACGGGAGCTGTTTAGCCCGATAAATGATCTTAAGGGGACCTCCGGGAAAGTGGCCCTGCTGGAGCTGGGCTGCGGCACCGGGGCTAACTTCCAGTTCTACCCGCCCAACTGCAAGGTCACCTGCGTGGACCCGAACCCCAACTTCGAGAAGTTCCTCACAAAGAGCATGGCTGAGAACAGGCACCTCCAGTATGAGCGCTTCATCGTGGCTTATGGAGAGGACATGAAACAGCTGGCGGACAGCTCCATGGACGTGGTGGTCTGCACCCTGGTGCTGTGTTCTGTACAGAGCCCCAAAAAGGTCCTGCAGGAAATCCAGAGAGTCCTGAAGCCGGTGAGCAAAGTAGCAAGGGTGTGGGCCCCCCGGGGCAGGTGAGTCCCGCCTTGGCAGCTCCAGAGTTCAGGACCCCGGATGGGGAATCCCGGGAAGCTGATGTAGCCCACCCTCTGACAGCAGAATACGCCATCTGCTGTCGTATACGCTCTAGGACCTCAGGCCTGTTCTGGTGGAGAGCCGATCTGTGTGCTACGGGAACACAGGGGTGTGGGCTCAGAACAGTGGGGACGGAAGAAGACCGTGAGGTTTAAAATGGAGCGTTATGCTGCGGAGGAGGTGGGGGAACAAAAGGCTTGGAGTAGAAATGTCAGGGGGAGTAGAGTCTCTGAGAGGTTGAGCTGAGTGTGGAAAGAAAGGAATTTAGGGCAGTTTCCAAAGTTTCTGGCTCGCACCACCGAAGGGGGAGTGGATGAAATGGCCACTTGCTGGAAATGGCAAAACTCTGTTCTGAACGGGTTGGGTCTCGGGATCTGCTGAGACATCCATGCGGAGAAGCCACAGGGGTCGGTAGAAGTTCAGGAAGTCAGGACACGATGCGGCCTGGGGAAAAAGAGAGCTATGGCCAGTAGGACCTTTTAGTGGTAATTCAGTATGGGAGCGAATGAAACCCCTGGGAAGAGGACATGGGAGAAGGCGCTGGAGGAGGCCCTGCAGTAGCCAGAACCCTGGGGTGTCCTGGTTGTGCTGGACACCAGAGTCTCAGGAAAGGCTGGGATCGCGTCTCTATCTAGCAGGTGTGTCTACCCCACAGCCTGGTTAGCTTTGAAAGTGACCCAACACAAAACTATAAATGTGTTTAAAATACAGTGAGGCTTTTTTGGGGGTGCCTTTCGTAACTTAATCACAAAGTTCCTGAGGGTGAACATGGTAGACGACGAGTGTCATGTCACCGTGCTGCAAGGTCCCACGCCTGGAAGAACCCTCCGTGTCTCCTGTTCCCCACCACACGGTCCTCGTAGTCGTTCTGTGAAGATCTCTCACCAGTCATGGCCGCCCAGTTACCAGAAGCTCCTTACATGCATGCACTGTGAGGAGGGCAGGAGCCAGACGTACAGACCACATCAGGAGCCCTTTGTTCCCTACACTCTCAGGCCAGAAGCTCTTACCTCAGAGAGCTCTGACAAGCTGGGTCTGAGAGAAGGAAGGGGCCATGAGACCCAAAGAGCAACAGGGAGTAGCTAGGCGACCCTTAACTCCCTCCTTCCTCCCTCCCAGGGAGGACTGCTGTTCTTCTGGGAGCACGTGGCTGAGCCTCGGGGAAGCTGGGCCTTCCTGTGGCAGCGAGTTTTTGAGCCCACCTGGAAACACATCGGGGATGGCTGCCACCTCACCAGAGAGACCTGGAAGGACCTGGAGAAGGCAGGGTTCTCCGATGTCCAAATGGAACGGCAGCCCCCTCCCTTCAAGTGGCTACCCGTCGGGCCCCACATCATGGGAAAAGCTGTGAAATAAGCCTCCCCCAGGAGCCCATCTGCCCCCTCCCTGCCTGTAGTCAGAGTCACCCCGGGTGACCGGTACAGCCTCGGTCCCTCTTCCACAGTGAGGCTTCCTCCCTGCTCCCTCCAGAGGTATAAAACTATACAGCGCCATACTGTCAACTACAAAGCCCTGGACTTTGCCCACCCCCCTTCTAGGACCCCGCTTTTCCTTTGTTCCCGTGGTGAAGTTCTCACTGCTGTTCTTCTGAGGCGACACCCATGTGCCCCTTGGAACTAGCCACACCCCCAGGATGAGAGAACAGCACTCAATAAAACAACCAGAGTTTTTATTGTCAAATACTTTTTAATAAATAGACAAAAACCGCTAGGCTGGTAGAGCACGCTAAGGTCGGAGGACAGGGCGGGCTATGGAGGGAAGAGCCCCTGAGACAGTGACGCGATCTCCTCCCTGACCCTCTGTCTAAGGCACTTTGGGGAGACGTGCTATACAGGGCGGGTGAGAGAGGGAGACCAGGACCCCTACTGCCCACCCTGCACCTTCCAGCCGTGCCCCGCAGCCCATCCCTGATACGCCCCCTCGTCTCACAGCATTCTAAGGGGAAGTTGGAGGGGTGGTTCTCATGGTGGGAGAGGTCTGTGCCCCTGAGGAAGTAGAGCCAACAACCTACTCCACTATCCCCATCCCCAGGAGCCATCTTGGGGAAGGGTGAAAGGGACCCGCAAGCCAGGCCTGGAACAAGGGAAACTAGGCAGTGACGGGCACGGGGGTTCCATCGGGACCCAGATCGGGGTGCCAATCGGCATCCAGGATGGGGTGCGCATCAGAGCCCTCCCACTGGGAGTTGCCCCAGTTACTCCTCTGGATGGTGCCCGTCTTCTCCTCTTTGAACTGTTGTCGGTCTTCCCGGAGGATCTTCACTGCGTGGTACTGGGGCACAGTGGCCTCGGGGTGCTTTGCGCGCTTGAAGAATCCCAGCTGCAAGGACACCAAGGCAGACCATGAGAAGCCTGCGGGGCTGAGGCCCCTAGGAGCCCCTGGCCATGCCTGAGCTAGAAAGAGCCAGCTGAAACAAAAGTGAGGTGGGCTGGCCAAATTCCAGCACAGCGGGCAGCCCCCGGGGCTTGCTACCATCAGTACCAGGGTCCAAGGTTCTCACTCACAGCCAGAGGACCAGATGGAAACCAAAAGTGTAAAACCAAGGAGATCTCCCTTGGTCCCTGGAAGAGAGGCTGGAAGCTGAACATCAGGACCTCACAAGCTTTTCTCTCCCACCCAAGCTTCTCCCAGAACACAAGATCCAAGGGATAAAATAGTGTCCCAGACCTCTCGAACACCCAGAATGATGGCCGTCCAGCCTCGCAGACATACACCTGTGTGCTGGTACACTGAATAGCATCCCCTTAGGCCAGGGCTCTTGCTTCCATAATCTAACCCCCTCACCTACCACGGTCATGTTGGGCCTTGCACACTGAAATTCAGAACAGCCAAGACTCCTGCATGCTCAGACGGCACAGGATCTCCTTGCACAATCATCTTTGCACACTCATTCCCACATAAAAGGCATGCATGGAGCCCCTCATGCCCACATGCTGGTACTCCTGGCCCACTCACTCCCTGTGCATGCTGTGTATGCCCGCTCACACTTACCTCAAATATTCGGTCCCTCATTACCCTTATGCACACTCCCCTCTTTACCTTGCACATTCCTGACCCCCGCTCCCAATGCTGGATCTGTACTTAGACACACACATACACACGCAGATACACACGCATGTTTGCATACACACGTGCACACACAACAGTTACCCCACAGTCCCTGGACCCCCAACTTCCATGGCCGAGGGCTGCACGGCCAGATGGGCTCGGTGATAATTGGTTGGAAATGATGAGCTTGGACTGTTCCGACGGAAGAAGCCACACTGGGATATTGAGGGAGAAGGGGACAGAGGCAGAGGATGGGAAGGCTGAGGCGGGAGGAGGCCTTTATATCTGCCTGTCTCCCTTCTGTGGGAGTAGTGGATGAGACTGGTGTCCTGAGGCCAATCCTGAAGGCATTCACCATCCCTAAGACAACGGGGCAAGTTCTCCTCAACAGCACTGATGCCGCTCCAGCGCTGGTTCACTGGTGACGCACACTTGTCACAGCCGGTGGGCAGGGCAGTCTACAGAGCCCCAAGGATGTGCTCTGTTCTGCACAAGCCCCGCGTGTGGCATGTGGCTCAGGGGTGGGTCCTGGTGGGGCATGAGATCCCCTGCACCGACATGTGCATGTGTGTGCTTTTGTGTTGGGTCAACAGGATTCTGTCCCCGCTGCGCCGGAACAAGAACGGTTCCGTATGTGGCAGCTCCAGTCAGCTCCAAGCAGTTCCCTGGGGCTACTGCTCCTCGTTGCTGGCCTTGATCACAGTTTCCTTTGCTGCCACAACTCTGGTTAAATGGGACCACACTTTCTACTCCTGTGGTTTTATCCACCTTGGTTATTCTGGAAGTCTCACATGCCGCACCTCCCATCTACCCACATCCCTATCCTACACCACTTCACCATCTAAGGCCCAGCTCCAGGGAATCATCCTCCAAAGCCTGCCTTCCTCTGAGTTGCCACCATCTCAAATCAACACCTTCCTCTTGTCCTTAACTACAAGGCTCCCCCACTCCCACTAGACTACACAATCCTTGAGGACAAGATCCACACCGGAATCCGCTCTGAAAACATCCAGGGCAGATGGAGTTCCTGGGGCGTGCAGGGTAAGCGTTCAAGGCAGAGTTGCTGGATGAATGCATGTGTGGGTGAGGGGCTGACCCCCTTACTCTAGCTCCAGTTCACACTGGCTCCACCCCTCCCCAGGCCTCACCTTCCACAACAGCAGCACCAGCAGGGCCAGCACCAGCAGCCCAGCCAGCACTGCCAGGAGGATGACCCACCAGGGGATTCCTTCTGCAATCACGGCCACAGGGTCCAAGTACACCATCACTGGGATCTGAGAAACACGGAGTGAGCAGGGCAAAAGCTGGAGTGAGTGGGAAGGAGGAGAGCCCCACCCACCCATGCCCACCCCATCCTCCCGCCCTCCTGCCCGCCCGCCCACCGGCAGCTCACCATTGTGGAAGCGTCTCTGAGCAACAAGTTCTTGATAGAGGACTTCACTGTGATGTTGGCGCGGACGATCACTTCCAGGGACTTCACGGCCATGTACTCCTAAGGGATGGGGAAGGGGACGTCTAAATGCCCGTGTTCCCCTCAACCCTCTCCAGCCACTGAGATCACAGATGGGATGGCGCCAGTGCAGAGGGCGCTTCTGCCTGGCCTGGCTTTGGAGAGCGCTGCATTTGGAAGGGGAAGACGGAGCACCGAGGGGATTTTCGCCGAAGACACTGAGCCTGGAACTTCCGTGGTGCCCTCACCTCCAGAAAGGTGCTGTTCCAGAGGCGACCCCAGACATGCAGGACTGCGGCGCGGTCAAAGCTGTAGAGCGGGCAGCTGAACACCACACAATTAGCCGTGCCCTGGGCGCAGTCCTGGGGAGAAGGGTAGGCAGGACCCTGCGTCAACAGGCCCGCGAGTTGACCCTCTCTCCCGTGACCCTCATCTGACTTCAAACTCCTCTCCTCCAGGAAGTCTTCCCAAGCTAACCCTCTGGCCCAAAATAGCCGCCTACCTCAAATCTGAACTATTTGGCTTTGAAACACACTGGGAGAGGTCTTTCACTTCTAGCAACAGGCAGAGTGGCTTCCTGAGTTGATATCTACTCAACTTACTTTCTCAACTTATTTATCTTTTTTTTTATTTTTTTATTATTTATTT